ACTATGCTCAGGCTCAGCTCTTGGTGATGGAGATGCAAGAATGGGCAAGATCCATAAGGATCAGGCGCTCCATGGGACTCAGCTGGGGACAGGAAGACAAATGAGCAAAGTGATTTCAGGTAAGATGAATGCCATTTCCCAGATGGAAAATGAGAAGGCAATCCAGGTGCTGGGTAGGTACTAGAGGATGTTTTCAGATTGGATGGTCAGGAAAGACCTCCTCTCAGAGAGAGTGGGCATTATGCTGAGACAGGATGAGAAGACTCCGGCCTAGAGATGATGGATCATGACAGCATTCCAGACAGAGGGAGCAGGCCAAGCCCCAGCCTCAGTGAGTCTTCTCCCTCTGTAACACAGTAAGACCTAGTCATGCTCTTGGATTACTTACTTAGGGGTATCTGATGCTAGAGCTCTGTGGTACCTGATACCTGATACTCCATACTCGGTTGCTCCTCAGCAGTTTTTATGTCCTTCTTATCTGGGGGCAGGAGATGAGATAACCACTCCTTCATTTCTGCAACAACTACTAAGGTGTGTGAGGCCTGTGCAGGTAAGAGGTTCTCTCCACAAGGGGCATATGGCCTGGGAGGTGTGCTGAAGCTTGCAGAGGGAATGGTGCCAAGCAGATTGGGAAGTGACGCTGGGGAATGATCCTCATCCTCCAAGGAGTTTTGATGGGACCAAAAGACAAGGTCTGGAGGGTGGCTCAATGCCCAGGGCCTCTTAGGACGCTCTTTCTGGGGCTATGTGGAGACATCAAGGTGTCAGAAGGACTAGAGGGGTTTAGAGAGGTGATTGAAATGGTCCTGGAGATGACCCAGGTTTATTGAGGATCGATTTTAATTGCAGGTTTTGAGTTACTTTTTCAGCACTAGAACTAAAAATCACACGAAGCCACATGGAACAATAGAGTTGATTGATTTAGTTCAACAACTGCTTCATCAGGACAGGGAATTAGGTATTTAATTGAATTGGCTGGCTGTTGAGGAATTTTGTATTATTAGCAAAATCACTGAGGTCTAGTAGTTTGGTGGGGCACACTCTGGGCCATGTCCTTTCCTTATGTGGTCAAATTTGGTTTTGTTGGATGATCGTTTACCTCATAAACCATAGGACAAAAGATTGGAATTGTTTTAATAAAATGCTGCAGTAATATCATTAAATAAGATAGAAGCAATAATGTCAAAGCCAGTCTCTGGTAGTATCAGGAGCACTTGGGACCCTGCGTCACCAGAGGGGAAGTCATTAATATGATATTGTGGCTTTGAGCCAATTTTGAAGTTGTGAAAAATAAATTGTTGTGCCAACTCAAAAAGACAACTCTATGCATGTTTGGAATTACTAAATTGTATGCTTGACTTTGGTCAGAATTACTAGTGCATTTTGTGTAGCACATGATGATAAGTAATAATCACACTTGAGCGTTGTGAAGTATCAGTACAATTGCTCTCACATTTGATATTTTCCTAAGTGTCTTTAAATTTTCCTTTAATTTACATTAATTTTTTTTGTTTCCTTTTCATATACTGTAAATAGATTACTAGCTGGTTAAATTCCAGATTATGTTTAAAATCTTCTGTTTTTCACAGAAGGCTGTTTTCAGTCCAGGGCTCCCTCCCAAGTAAGTTTCGTCAGGTTTTATGATCACTGAAAGGGATGAAGATTATCTTGAGATGAGTCAAAGTAGAAGCATTTGTGGGCATCAAAGAAACCTTGACATTCCTAGAAAAAAATGAGCCCATCTCTGTGCTTCCCTGGTCCTCAACCCCCAATCCAGCATACGTGAGGCAGGAAAGCGTTCAGCCCAGGACAGCAGTGCCGAATGGCAGGGCCTACAGCACATCATGCCTCTGCTCGTCCCCATGGGCTGACCACAGACTCAGGAGAATCAGTCTCAAGTGCCGAGGGGAGTGTTGGGGCTAACTCTGCCTCTGACGTCCGTGTGGGATTTGGGGGACGTCAATCCAGATCTTTAAAATTTCATGTTCTTTTTCTTTTACAAAGTGAGTGCTTGGACTAGCTCTGTAGTTTTCAAACTTACTGTTGCTGTCACAGTTTTTCTTACACTCACTGGGGACTGTAAGCGAATGGAGCAGATCACAGTGAATGGTTCTGGTGGCAGGAGGCCATGAATGAGGCAGAAGCTCCTCTGTTCAACTCTTAGGGTTCCGAGGAACACAGTTTGAACATGCCCGGGCGGGCTAGAGCGTCTGGGATCCTAGCCCTCCACTGAAAATGGGCACTGGCCACACTCCTGTTCACCACCTTCCAAGTGGTTAGTGTAAGAAACTAGCTTGGTAACTAACCTTACCAGCATGGTTATATTCTATAATATGTAAGTCTTGGCCCACATCTTATTATTATTAAATTTTTTTTTACAATAAAATAAACGACTTTGGAATAACATGTGAAAATGGTTGTCATAACTCTCTTCCCCTGTGGTTCTGATCTGAAAGCCTGGAGCGGTGCCATGCTGGGAAGAGCTAGAGTTTGGGGACAAGTAGAGCTATTTTCAAATCCTGACTTGACCCCTATTAATCAGAGACAATTGCAGATGCATCAATGAAAATCCCTCAGTCTGTTTCTCGTTAGTAAAGTGGGAAGAGTGAAAAACTACCTCAAAAGTTTAGATGCTATCTATGTATAAAAGCTCCTACATAAATTAGTGAATAATAATTATAATAATACCGCCAAACATTTTAGAGGTTTTTTCTTTTTGAGTGTGTGTGTGTGTGTGTGTGTGTGTGTGTAGACTTGTACAACTATTGTGTGTAGACTTGTAGGCTATTTTAACTCTACCAAAGGAGTCACTTATCCATATTACCATTTTAAAAGTGGTATCACTTTGTCTACATGACTAAGTCAACAGGAAGAAAACTAAATGAGGGAAGGGACCTTTCTCCACCATACTGAACATGTAAGAATGTATTTATTTTCTTGAAATATGTGTTCTCTTTATCTTTCATATTTCCACCATTTCTAGAGACACAGGTAGAAGATGTGTCTACCTCTTAGCTATTCTAAGATCAACAATGGTCAGAGCATGAAACTGAAAGGCCCTTATCTTTGGCCTTGGTCTTTGGTTGGACATGTCAGAGGCAGGGACCCGGGGGGTAGGGAGCAGTTCCCAGGGGTAGCTCTCTCTGTTCCAGTCAAATATTGCCATTAGTGGATTAGTGCCCAATGTTTTCCAGATACCATGATACTTTTTAAAAATATGTAAGGGTTGATGATGTGGCTCAGTGGTAGAGTGCTTGCCTACCATGCACAAGGCCCTGGATTCAATCCCCAGTATCACACACACACAAATAATAATAATAATAATAATAATAATAATAATAATGTTAAAAAGTTAGAAATGCAATTTTTTGTAAAATCTTTTCATTTTAAAAGTTGACTTTATAGATAGGCAGGTAAGGAGGAGCAGGTTGTGGGCTGAATTAGAGTCTAGTGCGGATGTGGGCCTCAGACCCAGCTTTGAGATGATGCTAGTAGGAGAACAGATGGGTGTTTTGGTGTCTTGGGTGCTGTGGGGGAATTATTACTGGAGGCCCAGTCTGCCTACTTATTCTGTCCTCCCTACTCTGTCCGTTGGGACTCCCAAGGTAGAAACAGACACAGGATAACAATGAGTGGGAAGTAGAATGCAAAGCAGGACCACTCCTGACCCTCCAGTGCAACCAGGGGGCCACAGCCTGCAGGCCAAGTGAGGCCTCCTTCTCCCCCTGCCCTCCCCGCCCCGCCCCTTCCTGCCTGTTCCCAAACCCACGGCTCTGCATCTAGTCCTTGGGACCTGGTTCTGCCAAGTGCCTGCAGAGAGGACAAGGCCCAACAGTGCCCAAGTCCACTCCTTCACTCTGCCACACAGGACTGGAAGGGGCGGTGAAGTGGAGAGAAAGGAGCCTGCCTTCGCCAGGCGGCTCCCCCAAGACCAATGCGAGGGGTCCCACCTGTGTCTTTGGTGACTGCAACTGGTGAGCAGAAAGGAGAACTGGTCTCCTTTCTGTGGGGGTGCATCAGAAGCAAGGGTGGTAGGAGATGCTTCCTGGGGTGAAAAGTGAGAACAACTGTGACCTTGGGTCATTTTATTCTTTAGCTGCTAAGTCAAGTCTCCCTACCAGCCCTGTCACTCTGTCACTTGTGTCTCTAGTCTATGAGCAGGAATCAAGGAGCTCTGCTCCTTGCCTGGCCTCCATCAGCGGGTCCCTTCCCTTCCTCTTGCGTCCTGTTCAGCTGCAGCCATGCTTTTCAAAGGCCTGCACCCTGGCCAGGAATGACAGCTTCAGGCTAGACCAGACTCCCTCATCGGACCTTCCAACCCCTTTCCCTCCAAGTCTGGTCCAAGAGGCTTTTCCGGGGGTACCTTTGGGGACTCCCCATTGTGTTCTTGGGTTTGGGTAGGCACGTTTCTCTCCAAGGAGGTGCTGATGCCAAACCCGCCAACGCCCCCATGCTCTGCTCCTTTCCTGGGCTGGGCTCCGGAGAGCCAGAGGCCTGTGTTAGGAAGAAGGATCATTATTACTAGAACCCTCCCATAACTAAAAAAAAGTGGGGTGCCAAATTTTGTAATGACTATAATTACAATAAAATATTTACTTGTCAGAAAGTACTAGAAAGAAATATTCTAAAAGTCACTATATTAACTATATTAGAAGGGAGAGATTGATAGGAGATTCTCTCATTTTATAACTTTTTATAAAGTTCTTATATTGCTTTGATAATTACACTAAACAATAGAAAAGTCATGAGTTTCATTATTTAAATGGTAGGCTCTAGTTGATGAAGAACATCCGTAATAATCCAAATTTAAAATTCTCCAGCTTTATAAAAATAAAAGAGGAAAAATGTCAAGAAGAAATAGAAGATAAGTAGGCTAATAGATTACTTGCAGGATTTGTATAGGTCCTCTATGTCAATGGAAGATAAGCATTAAAACTTTCCTATCTATTGAATCAAGAATCTAGATGATAAACTGTAATCATTTAAGGATATCATTTTCCAAAAAGGAATTTCCCCTGATCTTTCTTACCAAGCCTGCCATTAGAGATGAGCTTTTAAGGTTTATTCTTTTATTTAAAAAAGAAAGGAAAAACCCACTAAGTCAACCTTAAAAAATAAA